ACACACACACACACACACACACACACACTAGTTTGCACCTCCGCTATCGCTTTGGTTTTTTTGCGCTATCCGCTTTCTTTTTGCACACCTTTGTCCACAGCAAGATTGCTTGCAATTCCAACGTTGTGCTTATTCAATATTGCAACGTCTTTTCCTTCCTGTTTGTTTCTTCACGGTCTGCTTTGTATCTCTGTGGATTTAGGTGGCAGCTGAAGCCAAGTCTGGTCCTAGGTTGATTATTGTTGTGGTTGGTGGTGCTACGTATTCCGAGCTGCGGGCAGCTTACGAGGTGAGAGTGCGTGTACTACCCATGCACGCGTACAGGAGACGAGAGGCTACCGCTATAGACCTCGGGTGCATTCTAGCCAGCTGCCCAGACTGGGCCTGATTGTGCACTACCTTTACATGTACAGTCAACTTTGCGTCTAACGACACTCGGCGGGGCATCAGAAAAGTGTCGTTATACCTGAAGTCTCATTATATGTATTACAGCTGGATTGGACTTTGCTCTGGGCATGGAAATTCTGTCGTTATTCGCGAATTGTCATTATATCCGCAGTCGTTGTTAGCGAAGTTGACTGTACTCGGGTTCTATATGTTGGGTTGGATGCCTTACAGGCTGTATTGCAGACCCTGTTAGAATGAGCATGCTTTGGTGCTGTTAAAATCCTAGTTGGGTTTTCATGCTAAAAGACAGTGTAATGCATTATTTGGGCCGTAGTGAAAACCCTATTTGACCTGAATTTACGCTAAGGAGACCGTGTACTTTCATCATGCGGTCTATGGACGTACGACTTTGTGATTGAACCACACTGCGACGATTTTGGTGATTTATGTGGACGTTTGTTCCGCTTTTTCCTCTTTTCTGGTCAGTGCGGGATGGTATTTGATGGCATTGCTGTGTCTGTTTGTTTCTTCACCTGTCAGGTTTCAAAGGCCAACAGCACCTGGGAAGTGATCATTGGTAAGTTGATATACTGTAGTGTCTGGTATAAAAGCCTGTCTCATATAGAAGCCTGTTTTGAATACAAGCCTAGGTATCATCATTGTTGTCTGAGGATTGCTGGATCACCATGAAACTCTGAGTAACACAACCCTTCAGCCTAGTGCCACTGCTAACTGGTGTGTTTGGGCTCTGCCCTCGTGGGATTGAGCACTTTTTGCAAGGGTTTAGCGATATCCTGTGGTGCTTTCTACAGAAGTTTGACTGCTTTTTACAAATCTCTTGTTTTTCATCTGTACAGGTGGAACTGAGTTGCTGACACCAGGTGCCTTCTTGAATAACTTGCAGCAGTTGTCAGACCCCAGCACAACTACTCAGGCAGTGTAACTTAGTTAGTCCGTTGTAGGCAACATGTTGTGCTAACTGTGTCATCCGTCCTTTTGTCTCTCTCTCGTCTCTCTCTCTCTCTCTCTCTCTCTCTCTCTCTCTCTCTCTCTCTCTCTCTCTCTCTCTCTCTCTCTCTCTCTCTCTCTCTCTCTCTCTCTCTCTCTCTCGTCTCACTCACTCTTTCTCCCTCTCCCTGCCTTCCTCTGTTGTCTATCTACCTCAGTCTTGACTCTGTGCATTTCCCTCTCCCACTGTATTTTCTATACTGTCTCTAATACAACTATATACCGGCCTGTACAAAATCCACAGTTTTACTTTCTTGCTCTAAATCGCCTCATTAATTTGACCTGCCACGATATTGCTGATTTTTGTTGTTGTATGCGAAAGCACTATTCCAGTCAACGGCTGCCCTGCGCGAGCTGTATCTAGCATCTCTGCTACGTTCTTGCCTGTTGATTTCCTTGTTCGTGACAGAGTCATGCTGCAGCGTAACGCTTGTTTCCTAGTGCGTACACAAATTTAATTTCTTTTTTTCTTTTTTAGACCTTCAGAAATACTGCTAGACCAAATACCGACCCCTACATGTTTGTTCTATTCATTTGTGACCATACTTTGAATTATTACTCCCATGCTCATAACGTTAGATTTGCCGACTGCGCCGCAAGCATAGTATACGGCGCTCTCCGCTTTTCTGCACTTATTTGCCGTTCTGTTCGTCTTTGTTCGCACGCAAAAAAAACCAACGGCATGCAATGTAGTTCGACGCTTGTTTTCATCTGCAATGCTTCATGTGTCTCCTGCTCCTTCTCGATCGCCATGTCATCATGTTCTGCCGTTGGTGTTCTACAAGTGGATGTGTTTTGGGGGAAGTCCCTTTCCTCTATCCTGTGATGTTGCTGTTAGAGAGTCAATGCCACTTTACCCCTTTGCCTTTGCCTTCCGCATTTCATCTCCGTGTTCGCTTCTTGTATTTTGCTGCCGCTCTCATGAATACCATCACTGATCAGTGTTGTGCGCTGTCTGCTGATGCTACACGCGTTGATGGACGAATTTTGCCCGATATGCTACTCGGCAATGTTTTTCTCGTTTGTGTATGGGCTCACCAACGTCTGCAAGTCACCGCATTGCCCGATCAAGCTTATCAAACTGTAGAGCATGCCTGCGCTGTCAGTTGAATACTATCAAGAGTACACAACCTGGTTATGTACTCTTGATACTATGTACAAGTAGTAACGTTTATGGTGGTTGTGTGCGCCGTCTCAGCACGCTCAAAATTGCACATTACTACGAAAGTATTTTTGAAGTAGTAAAGATAGTGAAGTACTGGCAGTGGTATGCTCGTATATTTTTAAAAGCGATCAACCCTAGATAGCACACACAATCATGTGCATGTAGCCACATGCATGACGAAGCGTGTACTGTAAAAGCCGTGTATACAATACATGTGTAACGAATTGCTAAATCTAACGAGCTATCGACAAGAAATCTGTCGTTAATAGTATACAGAAATAGATACTTCACTGGTATACTGTTCCTCATGAGTGAGAATCGGTAGATCTACCATTTTTTCTTCAGACTTTCCCGTTTGTGCCTTTCCCTCAAACTATAAAATAAATAATAGTCAACATTTTTTATTTATTTTTATTTTATCCCAAGCAATACATGGCTGGGGTAGACAATGACCACTTTGCGTGACGATTGCAGGGTTTTTATAGCCAACCACGGATAAATAAGGAAAAGAGTAAGAAGTCAAAAAGAAAAGGAAAAGAAAAAAGCCTGAAGCAAATATGGACTAAAATTGTGGTCTAAAGCAGGGAGTATTGTACTACTGAGTACTAGTATACTACTCCCTGGTGTAAAGCTAGCAAGGCGTTCCTGAACGCTGTTAAAGTAGTAAGGCACTTTGTATTCTGGTGCAGCAAAAGCCACTGCAAATAGCCATTCAAAGGGGGGGGGGGGGAGTGTAGCAATGCAGAAGAGCGGGCTAGAGGAAGGGAGAGTTGGTTCGTATGGGGTTTTCCCGTCGGAACCAGTCACCATGGTTGCATTTAGCACACGTACGTAAACCGGTCGATTTTTCACAGTACATATGGCACTTGCCAAATCTGCTGTATTTCACTACTGTAAATATACAAATTTTCGGCAGCTATTTAATTTCGGCTATATTCGGCACCGACCCAAAACGCCGAAATTAAAACGCCGATGAAATTTTTCACAGTATCTGTCGCACTAGTCTATACCATGCCCTCTACCCCACGCCGAAAATAAATCGCCGCCGAAATGTCAAAAATCGTGGAGTGCCGAAATTTTGCAGCGCCGAAATTTTGTATATTTACAGTATTTGTAAGGGGCCATCCGTAAATATAGATATTTATTTAGAAACGAAAACTAGTCGTTTAGGGGGAGGGGGTTGAGCGCCTGTTCGTTTCTCCAAAAATATCGATGTACATTTTGCATGCGTGAGCATGTGTAGAAAAAAGACCAAAAATATCTCGATACTATGTACCATTTGTATGTGTTCGTTTCTCAGGGAGGGGGAGGGGGTTGAAGAGAAACGACTAGTTTTCGTTTCTAAATAAATATCGGTATTTGCGGAAGGCCCCTAAGTAACTCTTGCTTTCTTTGGAAAGGACTCAGGGACCTGCTGCACTTGCACGAGACTTGTGGACGACAAAATGTAGTAGAACTCAATCTGTCGTTTTACGCAAGGTCACAAATGAATGCATACCCGGCACCCCACCCCTTGAACGAAAAATGTATCGACTTTACAGCTTGAAAACGAAACCCTCCTCGGCCCACCCATGGGTCGGGAGGGTTTCGTTTGGAAAATAGTCCATTTCACTGATCTGTTTCGCCACAGCATTGGACCAAGTTGGCAAAGCACTTCGCAGTCAAGTTGGCTATCATATGAATAAAAATGCACCGCAACAAGACACGGCCTGTTGAAGCAGCAATATACATGTAATCTTGCAAGACTATGTACACATAGAATACAGCAAAGGCGACAGCATCGCATTGGCAGCAGCTATCTGGGCGGACACGCAAGCTTGGGTAGCAACTCTTTCGTCCTGCAAGACAGCAAAAGATGGGACTATACTACAAGGACCCGTGTTCAGTACACGACACAGACAAACAAAGCACACGACCAAACAAAGCGACTGACTGCAGACACAGAAACACAGCATATGTGTTCTGTGGTACGGGAGAGTTGTGAAATATGGGCATGACTTTTTAGTGCGAACATGCAGGCCATGCATGGGATTGACGAATATGATCATGAAGCTAATACGTAAACGAAGTAAGCAGCTAAACTATGGCGGTAGAGGAGTATTATTGCACTATAATATGATCACACCTATTTTGGAATGCTGGTAGCTATGATAGGATTTCGGGGAGGCTATGGTACATTTTGGCCGCATGGAGAAAAGAAATTAACTTCAAGTTTCAGTGACGAAGTGGGTCAAGTTATGGCCCAAAGCACAACGGAGAAAGAAAGAGAGAGAGAGAGAGAGAGAGAGAGAAAGACGAAGAGAGAGAGAGAGAGATAGATAGAGAGACAGAACTTTGGGGGAGCCATACCACACATTTATACCTGCGGAGGTGGTGGCATTAACTGCTGCTGTTCAAGCTGTTGTTGTGTGGGCGGTTGCCTCTGCACGGTTGGCGGACGGTGTGGTGCGGAGTGAGATTGCTGAGGTGGCAGCTTGAAGCGTCGCTTTGCAATAAAGTCTATGAGCATGGCCTTCGTCACCGGAGCCGTTAAACTCTTACAGACACTCTCGTACGTTGTGTAGCTGTTCGGCTTGTCCTTATCCTCGCGAGTACGCATGAACGACCACTGCCCGTTGTCGATGCAGCACTCAATGATGGCATTGTGCAGCACTTTCAGCTCCTTCGTCAGCTTGATCGTGCTGACACGCATATCGTGACCGAGGACATGAAGCTCACCAACCCTCGTTGGCAGCTCGCCAAGTCGATTCTCCTTGACAATCTTCAGCTGAAAGTCGATGCTGTTGAGCTCCGGGGGCTTCCACTTGAGCACATCGTGATTCGTGTAGAGTTTGTAGGGGTCCATAGCTGGTGAGAAGATCAGGCCATCGTTGGGGTGGTTCAGCAATGGTATGATTTTTTCAAACACGGTACTCTCGGTGCGCTCGATGTCCCAGAACTCCTTGATGCGCGTGCGGAACGGCTCCTTGGATTTGTTCAGACGGCCGGCTCGCTCCGCTTCGTCCCTCGGTTTCAGCAGCTCGTGTCGGATGGCGTTCTGTCGGTCCGGGTGAGATAGCTTGCCGATGTCATGGCCCTGGAACGTCACGAAGTCGTACATCAGGAAGCGTGGAACCTTGCGACCGCCCTCGTTGTCGAACACCAGTTCGCCGTCGACCACGGTGTCCTTGACATGTGGCGATGCTCGGCCGGGAAACGCAACCTGCGGGACATGGTAGATCATCATCTTGCGGTCAAATAGGTAGACCTGGGTCGGGCCGAGGATCATCATGAGGTAGCGAGTACCGTCCGCTTTCCAACTCACACGGTACGGTTTCTTCTCAAAGTATTTTATCGTGTCGCGATCCAACGATACCGGTTGAGCACCCGGGAAGATCAGATTCGGAGAAGTTGCGCGACACAGCTCGCAAAGGCGTGCCTGGAGCTCCTCGACGTTTTCGGTCACCGACATTACGCTTTCCAGGCCCTCCATCGGCACGCTAACATAACTACTGGACGAGCTGTGCTTGCGTTTCCGAGGGAACGCGGCTGCCTTGCCGTTGGCACCGACAACAGGCTGTCGATTTCCTCCAGCGCCGTCACTGGGCGATGTGAGGGCATCCTCCGTCGTTTGATTCGGCGTCTCGTTGTCCTCGTAAAACCAGTCGGGTAGTTCCGGCGCGACACACATCGACGTGTCGCCGTCGTACCGCTGGCACAAATCCTGTAGATAGTGCTCCTTCAGTATGCCCGGTGGACGCGCCTTTGCGAACTGCTGCACTGCAGCCTCTATTGCACTGCCATCCTCCAAGTACATGTAGCTGGCTATCATGAATCCCGTTCGGTTGAAACCATGTGTGCAGTGCACACCTATCACGGAGTCTGGGTTCAAGGAGAAAAATTGGCGACATACATGATGAAACGCTTCCACTTGCTCTGGAGTCGGAGATTGCTCGTGACCGGCGCAGGCCAACTTGTGGTGGACGATACCATACTGCTCCAGCTCCTTGCTGTCATAAAATCTGCCACTCTTCGTCAAATCAATAATCATACCCAGTTTGATAGTTCTCGCTTTCAGGTACGCAATGAGCAGTGGCAACTGCCAGCGGTCCTCCATGTTGACCCGCTCATCGTAACGGGAATCCAAAGGAGTTTTGAAAGGCAGAAACTTTCCTGCGACTAGGGCCCCCTTACGGGGGCAGCCTATCCAACGTGGAGGAACCTGCATCCTTCCTCTACGACACCGCCATTGGTGTGTTGTTTGCTTGGGCGCGCATGCCCCACTTGAAAACGATCCGCCATTTTCGTCATGTTTCCCGAAATCATGGAAATAGCGAAAAATTTGCTGCACGTCAACCTTGAAGTAAGTATGTTTTGTACTCTCACTTGATCAGACAGTTGATGACTCCATGGATCCACTGTCGTCAACATGTCTCCAAGGTTACTAAATGACGCGTGCATGACGCGAACTTCGCGAAGTGTAGGTTGTTCAGTTGTTTGAAGGGCGGACGTCTTCTGTCTGAATTTTCTGAAAGGAAGGAAAAGGCCAAGGGCTGATAAACTACTTGGCAGAAGCCAGGCAATTAGTATCAATAATATTAGGACAGCCTGAATGTTTCGACGCTCACTCACCTGCAAGTACATTACATGTGCATCATGTATGATTGCGGCAACGACTGCGGCTGGCTGTGCTGCCAAATCACTGAGAAATACTTCTGAATACTGTAGATCAGCTGTCATCAGGCAGGGCTGCATAGCAGAGCGAATCATGCCATTGCAGTTGTGAGAACAGCACCATCATGGCGGCGGCGAAAGGCAAGCAGAGTCGCGGAGCTTGGCGCGGCCGTTCCGTAGCACACCATTATGGGCAGCCGGAGGAGATCGTGCCGAAAGATTTCATTCGTATTCAGCCAGTTCCTACTTCGTCACACGACACTGAGACACCCCAAGAGAAGTCAAAGGTGAGAAGTCACAGGCGCTTCGTAGAACATTCACCATAGTCTTTTTGACACTAGCAATTATTTGAAATCCTATACTGTACTATAGTAGCATACTGTATCTGGTAGTGCACTATTACGGCTATGTGTATACATTAGGCCTAGTATGCATTAGGCCTAGTATGCATTAGGCCTAGTATGCATGAACACCATGTCATGTACATGACTATTGTTAGATTGACAGCATGACGTAACGAGGTTAGGAGACCACTATGTCCGGAAACAGTGACCTTTCTACAACCTCAGTGGTACTGGTAGGTAGAGCCCAGGTGTTCACGACCACCTGAACCGTATGGGTGTTGGACCCGGTTCTACCACGGAGGTTGAAGTAAGATCGCTGTTTCCGAACACGGTGTCCTCCACTTTGTTACATGCTGTCAATCAACAACATGTTTGAACAAAACAATGTTTACCTAACACCAGGTACATGGCTGTACAGTACACTACAGTGAAAATTCAGTTCCATATGAAGATAGAAGTGCCCTGGATATAACGTACATGACTGTACTAACATGTTTTTCGATTTTGACAGCATGTTACAAGGCGAGGACGCGTAGTGCTCCTGACTACAACCATAACCCGGTTGGCAGAGTCCCGGTCTTGCGACCATTTGAACCGTAACATGCTGTCAAAATCGAAAAACATGTTAAACTACCAAGCCAGGCTTCTGTATACCATGTGTTCAGAAGGATACTTTGAATAGTGTCATGTTTCAATCTTTATGCATTGAGTGCCATAGGCCGTGTCTCATTGTACGCTGTGTTGTGGTCAGATGAGACCACAGGACTCTGTCATATCGGTGGTGATTCATCCTTTTATTTCATGTAGTTCGTGTACCACTGCATTGTACTGTAGACTACCGCTATACCGTGCTAGTATTGCTTGCAGCTGCCTGCTAGTGCTGCTACGTATGCCTGATTACGAGCTTGCCCGGCGAGGGTATTATTCTTGTGTATGTTCAAGCATAATTCAGACTTCTGGGTGAACAGAAAGAGAACAGTCATTACCTTTAGTGTCCAAGCATTGCCATTGGGCGGAAGAAGTGCGTCTCTCACAAACGGAGAGCATTGTGTACCAGAGCGGGTCTCTCACTATCGGAGAACTCGGGGTCTCAGTTCTTCATCGGAACATTTATTGGTAGCAGAGGATGGTTTCTATGTAGAGCCATGAGCAGCAACGAACCAGTTCAGATAGAGCCGGCGGTACCGGGCAACTCGGATGAAGGCGATTCGAGCACACAAGGCGTTCCTACGCAAGCGGCGTCGGACGCTGAAGGAACCGGAACCGCAGTACCAGTGGAAGGAGACAGTGATGCGCCACTCGAGAGTGGGTCCCTGTCAACACGAACTTCCGACAACGCAGTTTCAGACGTGTCAACCTTGCGGGCCTGGAAGACGCAGGCAAAAGGGGATTTCACAAAAGTTCGCAGACGTGTGCTGGTGACCATGACGGACGGTGAGTGCAGTACCGAAGAAGTTGTAGCCGGTTTCACAGAATTAGAGGAGGCATACGAGAGGGCCACCGCAGTGATGGCGGATTTGATGGGTTGTTATGCTGTGCAGGGCGACATCGCTGGGAAAACAAAGGTTTTGTCAGAAATAGAGACAATGGAAAGTCAGCTCAGCGCAGCTGGAGATGCACTAGCTTCATTTCTTTCGCAGTCAACCAACACGGGCTACAGTTTTGCATCACATGGCCAACAGCAACACTTTGATTCAGAGCCAGTTTCAGAGTTCTCACGCACCACTGCCAGTACTGCGTCTCGGTTAGGTGCGCCTGCACGTACGCGCTCCAGAAGTGGTATCAGTTACAGCTCACCGCACAGCCAAGCACGCGATTACCTGTCATCGATTGATACTGTGGTTGACCACGAGAGGCCAACAATCGATCAAGCATACGATCACAGAGACCGGTCTTCAGAAGGAGTGAGGATGAACCTCATGAGTCATGTGGACAGGGAAGCAGAAGATCAGTCCGCTGAGTCAGCGTCCGCTACAGTTCGTAGAACCAGCGCTAGCGTCACCGCTACGAGTGCGAGTAGCACGGTGAATTCCGTTTCCAGCGCTAGCCCTCCTTCGTCTTCGAACTTGACAGCGTCCCAGGACGGGACAACGACGAGCACCACGAGGCCTGTGCAGCAACTCGGGGCGAGCAGTCAGACTGGTACTCGGACGCCGGCACCAGGGACGTCACCCAACAGACCAGCGCCACCGGCTGCACCGCACGGTCCGCAGCCTGCTAGATCTACGAGTGGTAGTGCGAGTAGCAGTGCGACGGCATCACAAAGTGCGGCAGTGACAGCGTCAGCAAGCGGGACTGTGTCTGTTAGAACGGCGTCCAGGGGCAATGCATACCCGAACCCTGCAGCGCCGGTGTTTCAGTCTCAGAACAGTCAGTCAGCAGCCGGCCTGAATGCTGGTAGACGACCGCCAGTGCCATCACAAGCGAACCCAGTTTCCTACTCAGGACATGGGGGATACGGATATCAGCCAGTCGGCCTGCAGCCCCAAGACTGCCAAGTGCTTCAGGGTCAACCACCAGCGGTTGGCGCTAGGGCGAATGCAGCTGGACCGTGGATGCAACTGCAGAAGATCAGCATTCCGGTGTTCGACGGAGTCAAACGCAGATTTGAAGGGTGGCATGCAGCATTCATGGCATGCATCGACGCTGCGCCCATGACACCAGAGACGAAGATGTTGCAGCTTCGACAGTACCTGGCAGGCGAACCTCTTCGGGCTGTCGAGAGCCTGGGATACTCGGCCGGGGGATATAATGCAGCGAAGCAGCTGCTTGAAAGGAAGTACGGCGGCGAGCGGCGGCGAATCGCAATCCATACAGAGGAGCTGGAGAACATCAAGCCTGTCCGGGTCAACAAGCCAAAAGACTTGGAGCGATTCGTAGACCTGCTAACAGTGGCAGTGTCCAACCTGAGGGATGCTGGACGGGCAATGGAGCTGCAGCCTGGTACCTTCTATGGCAAGCTGCTGAAAAAGCTTGACCGGCAGATGTTGGCACAGTACCATCGCTGGCGCCATGACAAGAGGATGGCAGAATCGGTTGAAGTTTTCCTGGAATGGTGTAGTCTGGAGGCGGAGTTTCTAACGACTGCCATGGAAACCGTCGACGGGCTGATAGAGAGCCAACCCAGCAGTAGCAATACTGGCCGGCAATCGCAGTCTGTGCGACCGGTGACACTCGTGACTGTGAAGGAGGAAAAACCGGCGCCTGGGTGCGCTCACTGCAAAGGGAACCATCCGGTCTGGAAGTGCTTAACCTTCAAGGCCTCGGCACCAACGCAACGCTGGCAGGTGGCACAGAGTTCTGGCCTATGCTTCCGATGTCTCGGGCGAGGGCACTCTGGCAGAGAATGTCAGATGTCAAGGACATGTGGAATCGACGGATGTCAGAAGTCCCATCACCGATTGCTGCATGATCCCCGCCGTGAATCAGCATCCGACAACGGGGCAGGCAGGCCTAAGCCTCAAGCAGCCAAATCGACGGCGGAGCCTAAGCCAGCCACCACCAAGTCTAGTGGCCCAGTGACTCACAATGTTCCGTGCAACTGCTCTGCGGCATCCGAGACAGCGCCTAGCACGGAAGGGGAGCACGTCGGTCTCACCACTGCAATGCTGCAGCGAGAGCCTGTGTCCTTACGCACGATACCCGTGGTCTTGATCGCCGGCAACCGACGAATGACTGTCAATGCCATCTTGGATGACGGAAGCACTCGCTCTTACGTTAACAGCGATGTAGCAGCCGAACTGGGAGTTCAGGGACAGCAACCGGAAAGGATGTCTGTTCACACCCTCAACGGCCACAAAGAGGTGTTCCTCACCACCCCAGTGGCTCTGGAGCTGCAAAGTCTGGACGGGCGTCTGAGAACCGATGTCGAGCTCTACACCACCAAGAAAGTCGTGGGGGATTTCAGCGTTATCGACTGGCAGCAGCAAGGGAGAAAGTGGGAGCACCTCCAAGGCGTCCAGTTCCCACCACTATCCTTATGTCGTTCCAGCACCATAGACGTCCTGTTGGGGCTGGACCACGCTGACCTCCACGTTTCCCTGCGAGACATTCCCGGAAAGCCGGGCGAGCCTGTAGCCAGACTAACGCCGCTAGGATGGACATGTGTAGCACCATCAGCAGTTGCTCGACACACTGGCGTTGGGATCACTCTTCACGGCGTGCAGATGCATGAACCACTCGATAGGCTTCAGGGCCTGCTCTAGACATTCAACTCAGCCCGGTCAGAGCGTACCTGGCGCATGCAGGCCAGCCGGGTCAAGCCGGGTCAGATCATCCTGCAGAAAAACAACCAAAAAGCCTGCTCAAAATGCAGGAAAACAGAAAGGCGAATTTATTACCGGAAATCGGAAATTTTAGAGAACAAGGCGAACTATCAAAGTCCGCAAACGTAGAAGGTAAACAACATTATTGTGAAGAATGCCAAGCAGTAACATAATAGAGCACTGGGGGGGGGGGGGGGGCTGCAGCACCTTGTGGAGTGGCTGCTTGCTGCGACTGAATCACCTGCATGGCCAAGCCGACTGGCATCTGCTTCACCATCATTATACATTCTGCTGAAAGGCTTCAGCAGACTGGAGAACTGGTGGAGATGCAACTGCTGCTGCTGCTGCTTGCGCTGGCGCTAAGTGACTGGCGCTGCTGCTGCTGCAGCTGCTGCTGGCGCTGCTGTTGCTGGTGGCGCTGTTGCTGCTGCTGGTGCTGCTGCTGCCGCTGCAGCTCTGGGTGTGCGGGCCAGGTCCCTCCGTTCAGACGAGGTTGACGTTGCAGTCGTAGTGCGCTGAGTCACCTCAGAATGCCATGCAGCCATAGTCTTGTCGTAGTTGAAGCAGTGAGTTCTTACCTTTCAACCACGCATCGCAACCAAATCCACCGCCGCTCGTCTTCCTTTGGAAATGCGTCTTGCACAAAGCGCATGACATGGATAGACTGCCTTGGTCGTA